TTATTAACAATTACATGTAATGAGATGGCGGTTTTCGAAAAAGAAAGAAATTGTAGCATATAATTGCAAAATTCTTTAGATGATACTCTGAACACCCTATGTTTCTAACAAGCTCATGCAGATCGTTTTCTAAAGATTTTGTAAAATAACTTGAACTTTATGGGGTAACTGGACTGAGAGTGCATAAAATATTTTTTATATGAATTTTTTTGGCCCAGACTTTGATAATTTTACTGAATTCAATGCTGTATTAGCTGCTATTAAGTTGCCATTTATTGGAAACAGACTTCAATTTTATTTAATTTTAATTTAACAAAGAGTAAAATTAAAATTAAATAAAATACAAAAAGTTTGAGCTTTGTATACAAGCTACTCTAGCAAGTTTTGGAGTCAAGTATTAGTTGAAGGCCTTTACCATCATCATTGACTTTGCTTATTGCCAGTATTTCTATTCTTGTCACTTGTTTTTATTGTAAATGGTTAAATGTTTAGAATATTGACTAACTTAATTCATTATTCTAGTATATTGCTAACTTGAGTGAATATTTTAATATATTACTTACTTAAGTCATTATTCTAAATGTTAAGTAAATGTTTAATAAATCTCTAAAATAACCATAGTCATAGCATTTAACTAGTCTTGAAACGTTTGCCATTTTCTATATTTGCAAAATAACTTAAACTTTATGGGGTGACCGAACTGAGAGAGCATAATATATTTTTCTAAATGAATTTTTCTAGCACAGACTTTGATAATTTGAATGAATTCAATGCTGTTTTAGCTGCTATAAGTTGCTGCTTGTTGGAAACAAACTTCAATTTTAGTTCAAATATTAGGTTACCTAATTTAATTTATTCTAACCGAAGTGAAGAAAGTATATTTATTTGTTTGTAACCGAAGTGAAGAAAGTATATTTATATTATAATGCCAAACACATGGACAAGATTACTGATAAATAATTTAGTAAAGAATAAAAGAAAACAAATGTTATACTTCATCCTATTAAGTTTCAAGATTATTTAGTTTAGATTGCAGAAATGTTTAATACAAATAAATGGTACCCTGTTATAAGCTGAAAATTCTTAAATGAAGTATGAATATTTCAAATAATTAAAAAAGTCATTTTTACAACTTAATCTCTAGTAAAAATGCAACTAATTCATTTGATAGAAATGTTGATATTTTGTACAACAGATTCTGTATTTTCTAGATTAAAATATTTTCTGAAACAACAAGTTATATTGGAAAACGAAAATGTAATTTTAAAGTAGCAAATCTTGTCTTTGTTTATCTGACTGGTACCTGACAGGTAACATGTCTAAATTTATCATGAGCAGTGTTTATCATATTTGCTTGTCACTAAATGTACATGACTTCCAAAACTGTATATAAAAGTTTTTTAATTTTATTTTGCAAAAGACAATTGAGTAAAGGCAATAAAATTTATGCATCTATAATATATTTTTATAAAGGATACACAAACCATTACAAACTCTGTCAAGTAACTACAGTTATTAACTGTTAATGTTATATTTCATGCTATATTCGTTAATTTTTATTCATAATACAAAATATATGCAAACCATAAAATAATTTCTTAAAACTGAATAACCTAAACTAACACAATTTGCTCCTGGCATTTCAATATTTATCACAGAATATATGCAACTTAACTATAGCGAAATACAATGTTTACACATTTAATGCACAAAAGTAGGCCGAGCACTAGCATCGAGAGGAACTTAAGTGTTTTTAGAAAACAGTCCTTGTTTCCAGACTAGTTAAATACTATGACTATGGAATAATGTATACATTAAAATAATTAAAACATACATTACAAACTTAATAATATATATTCAAGTTAACACACATGCGTCTATTAAACGTCAAAACAATGTTTTGACAAAATATTTAGATTTGGTCGATTATCCATTTAGAATGAAATCCAAAGTAACCTTTAGAAAAAATGACTATAAAACGTCTATATTCAAATGTATTTTAGACGTCTATTATAGGATTATTATACGCGTTTAAAGCATTTAGATTTTGTCTAATTTACATTTAAATTTAGAGCTTTTTAACTTCCATGAATTAAAATGGCGCACCCCACACTTGTTTATTATTTATTTATCAGTTGTTTTGGTTTCAGTTGTTGTAAGGAAGTGAATCTTGAAAACACATTTAAGTCTAATTTAATTATTTAGCCAATAAAAAATAATTTTTTAATAATTTTTTTTTGTTTTAATTATGCCTATTTAAACCATGTAATTTAAGCTGTTATGCGAGTCTTCTGACCAATGGCTATATTACTATAGTAAAATATAATAAACGATTATTAAATGTCGATCAAACATTTAGACTAACGACTTATATTAGTCAATATTGTAAACATTTGATCAACATTTAATAAACGTATATATTAAAATATTTAAAGCATAGATTTTAAACCTCTAAATGTTTAATTAAGGTTGATTAAAGGTTTACAATATTGACTAATGT